TAGTTCACCCAGATGCTGTTACACAAAAACTTGAACAGAGACTTTGAACTTTCTTTTATTCTTACCTCTCAACATTACTCATATTCATGCAGTTTTTAAGATCTATTAGTGCTGCTACTAAAAGTGTCTTGAACCTACCCACATCTGTGCCTCCCCACTCAGTGCTACTATGCTCATTCCTATCACGATGTTTTCTGTTAATCTAGCTGCTTCCTGGTTAATCTTCCTTCCTCCATTCTTAACCACTTCTGATACAGTCACCTTACAGCACCAAGGGAGACCTTTCCAATAGCTGCCGCACTGCCTGTGGGAGAAGGGACAAACCTCTTAATTTAATCTGCAAGACCTTTCTAAAACTGGCCTTATTTCCATGCCTGCTTCAGATCCCATCACTGACGTATTGATTGCCGTAACTGCCTTGGAGAATCTTACTATAAACTCATTGCTCAAATTTGAGAAATTTAAAAAAAAAAAAAAAGGAAGAAAAAACATACCCACAGTTCCCACTATTGTTATCATTTTGGTTTTGTTCTCTAACTTTTTAAATGCATGTATTTACATAGCTGTAATCAAATTGAATATGTAGCTTTGTTTGTAGGGATATTTTTGTTTGATTTTTAAAAATATGCACAAATATATGCTTGTTTAAAAAAATACAAAGTAACAAGCTGCTTTCATAACTTATCCCCCCATCATTTGTTTCAAGCTCACTAATTTCATTTCTTTCTTTATGTTCTGTGTTTGAATGGAAATACATAGATATTTTATACAGTGTTTTTCAGTTAACACTGTATCTTTTTTTTAGATTTTTTTATTTATCTATTCATGAGAGACACAGATAGAGAGCGAGGCAGAGACACAGAGGAGAAGCAGGCTCCACTCAGGAAACCCGATGCGGGACTAGATCCGGGACTCCAGGATCACGCCCCGGGCCAAAGGCAGGCACCAAACAGCTGAGGCACCCAGGGATCCCCCAAGTAACACTGTATCTTAAGCACTTTCTCATAACATTAGCAATATTCTGCATACCTCATATTAATGGTGGCATGTTAACGGTGATAGTAATAGCTACTATGTGTTGAGCAAGTACTATATACCTAGCATGCAGATTGTTAATCTTAGATAATCTCCATTTGACTGGTGAGGGAACTGTAATGACTAATAAAATATAGGTCAGTTCTAAAATTGCTCTGCCTCTCCCATGGAAACTTCAACATAGGGATGTGTGACAATCATTAACCAGTCTTCCCTGTTGTTGAACCTTTATGGTTTCACTAAAGTTTTCACTATTATAAATAATGTAGTTACGATTACATGTGTGTGCATTTCAAATTATTTCCTCGTGAAGGTTACTAGAAGAGAATACTTTTAAAGTTTTTGACACATATTGCCAATTTTCTTCCTGAAATGTTAAACCAGTTTACAGGGAGTGGCTAATTCTAATGGTAAGGAAAAGAGAGAAGAGGAGTGACATTTCACAGAGGTGACATTTGAGCCAGCTTATGCAGGATGAGAAGGGCTTTGCCAGAAGTTAGGCATAGTGGTCAGAACATTCTAGACAGGAAAGAGAGAGAGAGCAAAGACACAGGGCACAAGGGAGCGCTTGCCCCAAAGGAGTCAGTCTGTTCCCTCTGCTTATTTGCCACCAGAAATCCTCATTATTTATTTTATAGTTGGCAGCAAAGAGAATCAGAATAGAACCCTTCCGTATATTTAGAAATGATCTCAAATGAAAGCTCTCTTGAAGTTCTGAGACATTCATGCTAGTCTGTTTCTTTTTTCCTTTCCCCAGAGGGAGAACAAATCCCCCGAGGATTCAGTATAACTGGGAAACACAGGCAACCTCTCTGGTCCCACATCTGCTTCCCTGAATTTAAAGGCGCGAGGACAGTACATTTTACATTGGTCTTAGTACATATAGATCCATCACCAACCATCCTTCTAGTTATATGCAGTGAGGAAAATATCATCAACTCTTGCATTTGATACTGATTTTGTATCAATCTGCTTGATAAAATGGATAAAAGAAACCAAAGTCTTTTTTTAAATTTGGGATAGGTGCCAGACACTAGGGAGTCAAATTCTACAGTAACTAGAGCTGTGGCAGATTTCAGCCTTTATCTGAGCATGGTGTGTCTGCAATTCCTTCTTTCCGGGCTAGAGCAAGTGCTGAAAGCCAAAGGGATAAAGGTGACAGGGTAAGGGAAACCTGCCCTCTGAGCCCCCCACCCTCCCACCTCAGTCAGGACAGTGGAGGCTTCCACATGCTACTCTGGCTAATTCCATAATCGCATCTGGAAATGCAATATGGCCAGTAAGTCACTTCACATATTTTGAAGAAGGCAACTTATAAATTATAAATTAAGTAATAAAATATTTCTTAAGTTTGCAAAGTACCTTCAGGACAAACAGGATTTTCTTTTTGTGTCTGATGTTTATACTGCTAGCCCGAAGATTTAGTATAGGTGGCATTTATGAAGTTGATAGAGTGTAAACTTAACTACCTTAAAACCTAACTATGAAATAGAAATTGATGAAATTAGGGGGATCCCTGGGTGGCTCAGCGGTTTAGCACCTGCCTTTGGTCCAGGGCGCGATCCTGGAGTCCCAGGATCGAGTCCCACATCGGGCTCCCAGCATGGAGCCTGCGTCTCCCTCCTCCTGTGACTCTGCCTCTCTCTCTCTCTCTCTCTCTCTCTCTCTCTCTGTGTGTGTGTGTCTATCATAAATAAATAAATAAATAAATCTTTAAAAAAAAAAAAAGAAAAGAAATTGATGAAATTAGAGAAACCTGTGAGTTACAGACTGTTTTTAAAATAAACTGTGCCTTTCTGCTTTTAAGGAAGTGTAATAATGGGAATAGATGAAGTGATCAAATAGTGATCTGCGGGACCAGAATTAATTGGTAGTGAAGAAATCTTTCTCATTAGCATTGTCACACAAATATATTAAAATAGCTGTAGACATAGCCCAACCAAATTGCTGTGACCAGTCTACCAATTGTATCCTGTTCTGCAAATGAATGTCCCCTCTGAAGGGAGTGATAAGTAGTAGTAGTAGTCATTACTACCAGTGAAACCTTAAAGGGACCAAAAGACTACTTCTCTCCTCTCTCACTCTTTCTCTTTCTCTCTCAAGAGAAGGAAGGGGGGATGGGCAGAGGGAGAAGGAGAGCGAGAATTTTCAGCAGGGCTCCATGCCCAACATGGACTTAAGTGACTGAGCCACCAGGCGCCGTAAGAGTACTTCTCTCTTAAGGTTCTTAACAAGCTATTAATTAGATAATGTATATGAAACTCTTAATACTATGCCAACACCTGGAAGTGGGTGGAGGAGTCATTATCTGTGTTTTATTATTATTATTATCACAGTTATAATTTTTAAACCTTGACTTTTATTCTTGCCTTGCTAGTTTTCTTCCCAATCCTAGCAAAGGAAGATGTCATATTGGAAAATTATGTCTTAAATACCATTTATCTGTCTATGAAAGGGAAACTGGATTTTTTTTAAAGATTATTTATTTATTTATTTATTTATTATTTATTTATGATAGACATAAAGCAAGAGAGAGGCAGAGACACAGGAGGAGGGAGAAGCAGGCTCCATGCCAGGAGCCCGATTTGGGACTTGATCCCGGGACTCCAGGATAGCGCCCTGGGTCAAAGGCAGGTGCTAAACCACTGAGCCACCCAGGGATCCCCCAGGAAACTGAATTTTGATGATACGTAGAAAAATATGAAAAGGTGTTACTGGGCCCTGGAGCACGAACTGTTGTGCAGTTAGGGCATCATTTGTAGGTGATGAACTTCATCTGAAAGGGAAACTCCTGCTCATTCACAGTTATATCCTAAAAATATCTGCATTAAGATGGAGAAAGTGACTGAGATCTTTACCAAAAGTTCTTACTAAAATTTTCTGGGGGTGCCTGGGTGGCTTAGTTGAATAGCATCAGACTCTTGATTTTGGCTCAGGTCATAATCTCAGGGTTGTGAGATCGAGCCCTGCATTGGGCTCCACACTCACCATGCTTGGGATTTCTTTCTCTCCTTTTCCTTCTGTCCCTCCCCACTCACGATCTCTCTTGCTCTCTCTAAAAAACAAGATTTTTCTACATCAGATGCCAGTGGAAGACTATGAGAAATAAAGCCCTCAGTCTGCAACTTAACATTTCTCTTTAGCAGCCCCATGTCCACCTCTTGATTTTCTTTTTTTTTAGATAATATTTGCAGCCTGAAATATAAAATCACCTTGCTCAGATTGCCATTATTTGCCTTTTCTTAAACAACCATACATTTCAGAATCTAAGCCATCTATGTTTCTATTCCTAGTTCTGGCTCTAGCAGACAGCACACTCTTTCTTGCATATTTGGATAGGAGAAAGAAATATTTTAAAAATAGCATATCAAAAAGTATAAAGTTACATTATTTACTTAAATTGCTTGCATAATTTTTATGTAAATCTTTAAGTACCCAAAGCAATTGATCGTAAAAATAGCTGGCATTTAGGATTAGTTTGCTTTGCTACTACCGTCGCCATGGTAAATGAATCTTTATTTCTACCATTAATGAAGTGAGATCTGTTTGTTTATATTGACTGTAAAGTTCTGTCCTGGAAAAAAAAATACTCATGTAATATGTGCTGTTCTGCCATAAAACTCTTTATTCCTCACATTCCCAAGTCTGTTCATCTTCATTATGCTCAAGGCTTTTATAACTTAACTCTTTTCATTCACATAGCTATCACTTACCCACCTTCTATCACTTTAACTTTCTCTTTCAATTATCTCACAGGTTTCAGTCTTCTCAAATTTATTGTTAGCTCCTCAGTGAGATAGTAGGCTTATACCTTATGCTGTGAGTCTCAGGCTATGTCTCCTTTGTTATTTGATGGGGGTTCTAATCCACAGCACTGAACTTTGTGTGTTCATTCATATTGCAATGAACGTTTTTGATGCCACATCAGAATAAATACCTGAAATACGCATCCACTTCTTCCCCAGGTCAATCAGCTTCGTGGCATCCCCAAGCTTCTGCAGCTCCTGAAAGTTCAGAATGAAGATGTTCAGCGAGCCGTGTGTGGGGCTTTGAGAAACTTGGTATTTGAAGATAATGACAACAAGTTGGAGGTAGCTGAACTCAACGGGGTACCTCGGCTACTCCAGGTGCTGAAGCAAACCAGAGACTTGGAGACTAAAAAGCAAATAACAGGTAGTGCTCACAGAATATGAAAGGACGTAGAGCAGGGTACCCCAGCTGGGTATGTTATGCTCTCTATTTTTCTTAAGCTTCCCACAACCAGTGCTTGATGGGCTCATCATTATCTGAGAGGTGGCTTTCAAGGAACATTGTCACCTTGCTGAGTTAGACCTCAAATTCAGATGAAGTTTGAATTCCTTTTTTTCTGAAGGGGAAGTTATTTTGAGGCTTTTGCTCAGTACACATAAGAAAAACTGTGCTTTGACTACATGTTTTTAAAACAACTTTGCAAGACTCACTGCATGGAAATCCGCATCAGTTTACTAACAGCCACTCTATGGTTTGAGGATGTGTGAGCTTTCAGTATTGCCTTGGTGTCCAAGGCATTCGTTCTGAAGAGACTCAAGAGGAGCCACACCCAATTATTTTTACCATTTATTCAATAATCCACTCCCTGGATCTATACAAAGAAAGCAAATCAGGGAGTCAAATAGTGTCCTAATGTAGAAGATCAATTTAGGGATCCCTGGGTGGCGCAGCGGTTTGGCGCCTGCCTTTGGCCCAGGGCGCGATCTTGGAGACCCGGGATCGAATCCCACGTCGGGCTCCCTGCATGGAGCCTGCTTCTCCCTCTGCCTGTGTCTCTGCCTCTCTCTCTCTCTGTGACTATCATAAATAAATAAAATCTTAAAAAAAAAAAAAAGATCAATTTAACCAAATAGAATACAAGAAATATGGTTTTCTAATCCTTCCATTGCCTGGACCCCGCAAGATACCTGCTCCCTAGCCCATCCATCACTGCACCCTAAAAAAAAGGAAAAAAAGATGAGAGTGTCTGGATGTGTTTTTTTTTCTAGCTCTCTACTTCATATTTCAAAATACTGAGTTGCATAGGTAAATACCGTTTTTCTGTCCAATAGATTAAAAAGATGAAATAATCTGATAGAATTAAATCAACAGTTTTAGTAATCCTTGAAACATGGAGAAGACAGACCTAGTTTCATTTAAATGAATAGTACATACAATAGAGGAGAAAATGGCTCATTGATGTTCAAGCTTGCCCTCCCTGCCGTCACCATCCGCTCCGCGCTGACGCTCCCTGCACACCTTACAGAGTGCGAGAAACATTACTGAGTGTGATTGTCAGTAGTGTTGGTTGCCCTGGGGAAACTTAAATTAAGAACATTCGGTGGCCCAGGTAGTAAACGTACACTTTTAATATAATTATCATGAAAAGATTTTGAGATATTTTTAGGTGTTACTGGGTGATTAAATCTCAATTTTACAGATGAAGAAAGTAGGGTCCAAAGAAGTTAACCCTTTTTAATGTATTTGTAAATAATAATTCTTGACAGTGTTATTTATTTTAAAAGTTCTTTTTTTTTTACATTTGTTTTTATTGGAGTTTGATTTGCCAACGTATAGCATAACACCCAGTGCTCATCCCATCAAGTGCCCCCTTCAGTGCCCGTCACCCAGTCACCCCAACCCCCTGCCCACCTCCCCTTCCACTACCCTTTGTTTGTTTCCCAGAGTTAGGAGTCTCTTATGGTTTGTCTCCCCCTTTAATTTTTCCACTCAGTTCACCTTAAAAGGAGGTATCTCACAAATGTTTTAAACTGAATATATTCTGTACTTCTGCCATGTCCACTTTACCATACAGCACTTTTTTTTCTGTAGAAATGTCATTCTATCTTCTCTGCCCATTTATATCTTAAAGCAATCACATATGTTTCTATCTTGTTATATTTAATTTTATAAAACTATATGAAGAGTGGTACCATGCTGCCCTTCTACCAGCATCCTGTCATGTCCCATGGGAAGTTTCCTTCCATCTTTATGATTTATATTAAAATACCTACAGAAATTAAGAGTGATCACACACATTCATTGATTCATTCATTCATTCAGCCAGCATTTACAGGGCTGCCTTCAAGTGCCAAGCAATGGGAATCAGTCTAGAGAGGTTGTACATGTTCTTTTCCCTCTACTAACACGTGAACTATTATGTGATGGTTGGCACTTAAAAAAAAAAAAAAGACTAAACCTCAAAGTTAGAACCTAACGTTTCCTCCATTAAAATATAGTAATGACAACCATAAGAGAATAGCAAACAGATAATCTATTTTACAGTCAAAAAAAGACTTCTCAAAGGAGATATGTTTCATTCTGGACTTTAAAAGAAGGATAGGATACACTTTGAACTGGTGTTTTGAGGGAGAATGAAAGTCATTCCCAACAAAATGAACATCATTAGCAAAGCAAAGAAGCAAAAAGAAGCTGCTGGTCATGTAGAGGGAGTTTGATAATAGAGTATTGAGGTTAGGGTGTATTGTAGCCAGAGAACTTGGGAGGATTTGTGGTGTGTGTCAAGGAAGTAATCCATTGAACCACGCTTCTTCTTCTCTTGTTTAGGCAATAGGAAACTACAGCCAGAGAACATTCTGTGGTATTAATGCCATAGAAACCATTCAGTTATCTTTAGATAATCTACAGAGCTGATAAATGGAGGTTTATTGTGCAATTCTTAGGATTTCTAGAACTTGGCTTGTTCACCCCTACCAGAGGGTGCTCATTACATGCTAATTGAATTGAGTTAATACTTGAATGTTTGATACAAATCCTTCCAAATAACTAACTTTAGCTCTATTAATAGAACAGCTAAATAAGTGCTTTTGGGGCCTCAGAAATAAATTGTTGACTTAATGTAGACATGTTTATATCTTTGTTTAGAAACACAAAGCGAGCAACCATACGTGTGAATCTTATCTATTTGGTGAACATCTTTTTATTGAGCCTCTTTTACATGCTTGCCACTAAGTTAGGACTTTCCATTTTTCATCTTTGTTCCCCTTGACATCTCCATAAGGCATTGTTGTTGATTTCCGCATGATCAGTGTGACACTTGAGGGTGGTAAGTAGATTGCCCAAGATTACACAACTGGCAGAGCACAAGGCCCAGATTTGAACCTAGCTTTATCTGCATGTTTTGCTGTATGAAAGTGGCTCTCACCTACTGTTTCTGGGGCAGAGAGTGACTCATTTTTACAGTTCTTTGGGAAAGGGTTTATCTTTAAGAATCTCAGATCAGAGAGCTCTTTCATTCTTCTCTGAGCCTTCCTCTCTCTCCACTTGCCACTGACATGATTCAGTCTTCTTCACACCCCTGGTCTACTATTGCAGTAGCTTCTTACTGCCCCTCTGATTCAGTATTGCACATTCCCACTCGATCCACCACTCTGCTCCTAATGATTTCTTTCTAATATGAAAATTCTGCCCATTGTCCTCCCCATTAACTATAAGGTAGAGTCCATGCTGTGTAGTATGCCATACTAAGATTTTATGATGTGAACTTGGTGACCATAGGCAACCAGTGTCTCCTCTTCTACGCTTCCAGCTCAGGTTCTGAAATCCTCGAGGATTTTGCTGGTCTGTTCCATGTCTCTTTTCTATCTTGGTATCTTTTGTGCTGTTTCTTGGACTAGAATCCTTTTCCACACCTTGACCATCTGGTGAACCCTTTCGTCCTTCAATACGTGTCTTTTCCTTTGAAGCATTCTCAGATGCCATCTTTCCATACTTTACTCCCTGTCTCCCGCCCTCCCCCCAGTGGAGTTTTGAACTACTTTTGCATCCTTTAATATTAGGATGCCACTTATTTCATGCCTGTATATTTATTGCAATAAAAACAGTTATTTGTTATTTTCTCAAATGAGACTTCTGATTGAACATATGAAAGAGACTTGTGAGAGCACCCAGGTGGCTCAGTCAATTAAGCATCCAATTCTTGGTTTTAGCTCAGGTCATGATCTCAGGGTGGTGGGATCGAGCCTCACATCAGGCCCTGCACGCAGCGTGGAGTCTGCCTCAGATTCTCTCTCCCTCTCTGTCCCACTCACTTTCTCTCAAGTAAATAAATAAAATCTTTGGGACACCTGGGTGGCTCAGTCATTTAAACATCTGCCTTCAGCTCAGGTCATGATTGCAGGGTCCTGGGATCCTGCCCCTGCCTCAGCCTCCCTGCTCAGTGGGGTGCCTGCTTCTCCCTCTCGCTGCCCCTCCCCCCTCATTCATGCTCATTTTCTCATGCTCTCTCTCAAATAATGTTTTTTAAAAATCTAAATAAATAAATAAAATCTTAAAAAAAAAAAGACTTGTGACCTGGGAATATCCAGATTACACACAAATAAGAGAACCAAGTGTGTTTTCAGATAGGACCCTGATTTTTCTGGCCAAGATATAAGACAATTAACCATTTGATATCTATATATGTATAAAATAAGTACCAGAGCTTTGTTTGCTGGAAGAAAACATCAACTCACTGACCTTCCTAGCATTTTCAGTACCAGCCTCAGAGGGAAGCTCTTCCCTTTCCAGATGAAAAGGCTTCAGGATCAAAGACTCCCTCTGAGATTGTTCTCCCTCCCTTACCAAGTGAGCGTGGTAGTGTACTTTAATTGAAATGAGAACAGTACATACTGATCTCAGAGGTTCATCTTCAGGGTCACTGAGTAATGAACACTTTCAGAAATGAGTGGGCTCTGGCTTAGTAAGAATGAAGCAAGAGATTCTTGTCCTTCTGCGTGTTACATAAGGAAGCCATAGGGAAGGGTCATGTTTGTCGATGATTTGTTGAAAATGCATATTGACTTCTGCATATTTTATGGAAATATTTAATTGAATTGCTGTATTTTAATAAAATAGAAACATTTTACTATAAAATATTCATTATGCACCTTTAAAAATAATTCTATATTATTTTCTGCATTTGTAATATGCAACAGGTTACCTTGGGTTCATGTATAACTTGGACTAAAAGGCTTTTGCAATAGTGTGGTATCGCAGGTAAGATTTACAAAACTTAGATGAAAGGAGTATATCCACACAAGGAAAATTATTAAAAAAAAAAAAATCCTCAGTTTTGTGATCACTTTGCAAAACAAGGTTGAAACACACCGGTTCTCCTTTTTTTCCTCCTGCTCTTCCTTCTCCCTCTGTACTGATAATAGGGATTCATTTAATCATACTACTCGCAATTTTTGCCACCTAAGTGTCATTTAGACTTTGTTAAATAACTGTATTTCTAGTCCTCAAGGGCGGACTGGATTTTAATATCTTATAAGATCCCTTTACTAAAGTTAGGTATTTTTTGCAAATATCACAGTTGGCAACAAATTTCAAGATAATGAAGTTATTATTATCTCTCTTCTAAGTGCTAATTATTCAAAACATATCCCTAACCAGAATCCATTTCTCTTTCTTTTTGCCTTGAATGAGAACTTAGTGATAGAAAATTACAGGCTTATCACCTGCAACAAAGAACTATAATAATAGAAACCTAGGCGCTATGAATAAGTTGATTAGAAGCTAAAGGTGAGACCAATGAAAATCTAAACCCTAATGTTATCTCAGAACATCCAGAATCAAGTCATTGAAAGGAAGTTCTATGAAGGGTCTTCTGGCCCATTTGTTTCCCAGTGCCAGAAATGGGAATCATTTTTTTTAAGTAATCTTTACATCTAGTTTGGGGCTCAAACTCATGACCCTGAGATCAAGAGTCCCGTGTTCTGACTGAGCCAGCCAGGTGCCTCAGGAATCATTTTTTAAAATACAAATTCCTAAGATCTGTCCTGAGATTCTGGCAAGTAAGTATGAGATGTGGCATAGGAATAATGATTCTGATATGCCACGAGGTTCATTCGGAAACTGCTGGTCTAGTGTAACACTCTAGCTTTGAGATAAAATCTCCTTGTCAGTGTTTTGATAAAGGAGGAGCTCATTTTTATCAGCTGCAGCAATAGAGCTGGATCTTACAAACAGATCTGTTTTCTTCAAAGCTCTCTTAGAAACATATTTTCAGTGAGCCAGAATCTCTTTCACTTGAATTTCCACTCATTAGTTCTGGTTTTGCTGTCTTATAGTCACCAAAAAATGATATCTAGTTGTTAAATTTGCATTTCTTTCGTTACTGGAGAAAATGCATTCCTTTTTTTTTTTTAAGATTTTATTTATTTATTTATTCATGAGAGACACAGAGAGAGGCCGAGACACAGGCAGAGAGAGAAGCAGGCTCCATGCAGGGAGCCCCATGTGGGACTCGATCCCGGAGCCCCAGGATCACGCCCTGGGCTGAAGGCCATGCTAAACCGCTGAGCCACCCAGGGATCCCAAGAAAATGCATTCCTATGTGTAGTAGATTCTAATATTTTTTAGCTAGGATTAATTTTTCTATTAGCAATTGAATTTATAATGATTTATAAGAACTCTATATATTAGGGATATTTACCTTGTATTGTCATACATATTTTCCCAATCTGTAATTGACTGTTTATTGATTTTTGTATGCTCATGTTAGGGGAGTGTCTAGGTATAATCCCAAATCTCTAGTGAACACTTAAGCTCCTTCCTAACTTTGTGCCATACAAAAATTTGGTAGGCATGACATTTCTATATGATATCCTATATTAAGAATTCAAAAATTATACTGATACTCCCAAACCAGATATTTTTATGGAAATAATACTGCTTGCCAAGCTATAAAGGACATCAAGTGTTGAAGGAAAATCTCACTTCCTTTGTTTAAAATGAATCTTCTTCTGGTTTTTATTGTAAGGTATACTTTTCCTTTGAGTGCCCTGTGTGGTCCTTTCTAAAAAGAGGACATGTCATTATGCTTTACATTTTTAAGCCTCTGGCAGGCAGGGACTGACTGTTCATTTGTTTGCTTATTTAAAACAGGAAGCTTTTCCCCACCTTCTCTCTCTTTTCTTTTTAGCTTTCTTTAGTAGCTTAGGAAACACAACTCAACCTCAGACCTGCCTCTACATTGTTTTCAGCCACCTTTGGAGTTCTGTTCTGTCATTCTACCCCCGTCCAGGGCCCCTCAAACCTAAGTGGGAGGAATGAAGTCATTGTGTTGCAAAACCAGTGGCTGAGGGACACTGCTCCTGCCTAAATCCCCAGGGCTAGTTTGATCAGGAAAAGACACCCCCCCCTCCCAAGCCAGAATTCGAGCTCTCACCAGACACCAGACCCCCAGTGTCGCTGTATCTGATGGAAGTTCTGCGTAGGCTGCAGTGGGGATTCGGTTATGGTCTCAAAAATGACTTACTGGTACACAGCCAAAGTAAACTGCATTTGGCCTAGAGTGTTCTAAATGGTGGGCCAGATATGAGTATGGTTGAATAATTAGCAAGCTTTAATTGTGTAGACAATTATTTCAGTCATTAAAATCAGGGGAGATGACACCACCATAGAATTCAGCCCCCCCCCCCAAAAAAAAGCACCTTTGCTTTTTTCACAACGTAGACTGTTCTGTATACCTGTGCTTCCTCTTTCTTTTATGCAGACAAAGCAGTAAATTTTAAAAGTAGGAATTACCGACTAGGTGGTGGGGGAATGAATAGGGAAGAAAATGAAGATCGCTTCTCTTTCTCTGCTCTCGGCCTTCCTGGATGATAGTGAGTTAGTCATTTCCTGAGGCATGAAAGAAGGAAAGTAAGGCAGCTTTACACCTGCTGGGAGTCACTGGAATAGCAAGCAAGAGCTATTCTTCCACTGAATCGGAAGTATTTGAATGCCAAATCTGTAAGAAAAACAAATCCTAAATGTGTGTGCCACTTTGTATTCCCTCTGAGGCACCCAGCTTCAGGCTCTGTCTCACAAATGCCCTGAAAAGTACAGTATGCTCTTATCTTATGAATTTCTTTCTGAGTTGGCTTATATGGCCTTTCTCTTTACTGGTGGGTCAAGGGGGAGATTTCAAGAGGAAAGGTAAAGTTAAATGAGGACAATGCTTAGACCAGTGCTTTAGGCCATGTATGTTGGCATGTAGATTAAATACTCTTGTATCTCCTTCACTGCCAAACCATAATGTAAGAAATTCATGAGATACCCAACATAAGTTCCAGGAGGGCAGAAAGTCTATCATTGGGTAGGATTTAATAAATATTAATTGGTGATGTTGATCAGCCTACTGGTAACAGGCAGGGGTACAGGCAAAGGCTTTCAATCAGGCCCTTCCTGCTGTCACTGGGTGGCAAATATCAGGTGGAAGTGGCAGGTAGTGGGGAGCAGGAGGCAGAGGGAGATATTCTCCCCATGCAACTACAGGAGAAAAAGATGACCCTTTAAAAACACTGAAGCCTTGGAGTACCTGACTGGCTCAGTTGGTAGAGTGTACAAATCTTGATCTCTCGGTTTTAAGTTCAAGCCCCAGGTTGGGTGTAGCGATCACTTTAAAAGAATGTAAAATCTTTTTTTAAAAAATAAAATAAACAAAAATAAAAATATGGAAGTCTTTACTACAATAGGATCATTTCAAGCCTCTGTGTTGGTGAGACCAGAATTTGTTACCTCAGTGAAGTCAGCTTAGTGGTAGGATCTTTTAAGAGAAACAGTATACGTGTTTAAGGATTTCTAACTTTCATTCACATTCCTGATTAATTTAAAAGCTGCATAATTTTATATCATAATATCTGTGTGTGTGTGTCTATTATGGATCAGCTTCATTGCCATCTAACAAACTCTAAACTGATTCTTTCAGTTGGAAAAGGGGCCACCCTTTTCTCTACACTACTAGCCACAGCCCTAACTCATCTTTTCAGCAGTCATTTGACCCATCCCCGTGCTGTTTTGATATAGTACTTTTTGCTTTTCTAGGTTTGCTGTGGAATTTGTCATCTAATGACAAACTCAAGAATCTCATGATAACAGAAGCCTTGCTCATCCTGACTGAGAATATCATCATTCCCTTCTCTGGGTGGCCAGAAGGAGACTACCCCAAAGCAAATGGTTTGCTTGATTTTGATATATTTTACAACGTCACAGGATGCTTAAGGTAATGCCACTCTACAAATCTTTTCTCTGTATACCTTACATACTGCATTAAAAACTCTATCCCATTACCTGGAGATGCTATAAGAATCATAAAAATCACTCTGAATACAAGAAATACCATGTAAAGACAGTGAGAAAGGTAAAGAACACAATACTGTTTCTAGGCATGTTTGATTTTAGCAGCTACCCACATTAGCTCACAAGAGAGAGGATGTCAGTTCCAATAAAGAAAACAGAGATTTGATCTGAACACCCAGAATTCAATGCAGACTGGCCTTTCCTATCTCCCAAGGCTTAAGGTAGACTTCATGCTTTTTTAATTCACAAGAAGCTAATGACATGGTTAAAAAAAAAATAATTTTAAGCCCAATATTTTTACTTTTTTATTGTTTATGTTTTATCAAGTCATAATTGACATAAATTAGTTTCGGGTGTACAATATGATTCAGTATTTGTATGTATATTGCAAACAGGCACCACAATAAGTCTAGATAACATTCATTGCCATGCATAGTTTTACAGAACTTCTTTTTTTCTTGTAATGAGAACTTTTAAGATTTTTGTCTTAGCAACTTTCAAATATGTAATACAGTGTTATTAACTATGGTTGCCATACTGTACATTACCTCCCCAAGACTGTTTGTTTGTTTGTTTGTTTGTGGCAGACGAAAATTTATTCCCATTATTGTTTTTTTAAACTTACTTTATAACTAGAAGTTTGTACCTTTTGACCATTTTGCCTGCCCCCTGCCTGTGACAACCCCACCAATCTGTTCTCTGTATCTATGAGCTTGGTTTTTGGTTTTGGTGTTTTTTTTTGTTTTTTGTTTTTAATGTAATCTTTATATCCAACATGGAGCTTGAACTCACAGCCCCAAGATCAGAAGTCATATGCTCTACTGAATGAGCCAGCCAGGTGCCCGTATGAGCTTGGTTTTTGTTTGTTGTGTTCCTTTGAAATTCCATTTATAAGTGAGATCAATACTGTATTTGTCTTTCTCTGTCTGACTTATTTCACTTAACATAATGCCCTAAAGGTCCACCCATGATGCTATCAGTGGTAATATTTCGTTCTTTATATATATATATAAACCTGATTTTCTTTATCCATTCACTTGTCAGTAGACATTTAGCTGGTTTCTATTTCTTGGCTATTATGAATAATGCTTCAGTGAATATACAGGTGCATATATCTTTTCAAGTTAGTGTTTTCATTTTCTTTGGATAAATATCCAGAAGTGAAATTGCTGGATCATATGATAGTTCTATGTTTAATTTTCTTAGGAACCTATGTAATGTTTTCCATAGTGGTTATGCCAACTTAACATTTCCACAAGCACTGCACAAAGTTTGCCTTTTCTCCATATCCTCACCAACACTTGTCATTTCTTGTTTTTTTTATAACAGCCATTCTAACAGGTCTGATATAATATCTTGTGGTTTTGATTTGCATTTCCCTGGTGATTAGTGATGTGCATTTTTTCATGTGCTTTCTTTGGAAAAATGTCTGTTCAGATCTTCTCATTTTTTAATCAGATTTTGTTTAATATTGAGTTGTATAAGTTCTTTATATATTTTATCAAATATATGACTTGCAGATATTTTCTTCCATTCCATAGGTGGCCTTTTCATTTTGTTGATGGTTTTCTTTGTTGTGCAGAAGATTTTTGTTTGATATCATCCCACTTTATTTTTGTTTTTGTTAACTTTTGGTGTCAAATCCAAAAAATAACCTTCAAGATTGATGTCAAGGAGCCTACTGCCTATGTTTTCTTCTAGCAGTTGTATGGTTTCAGGTCTTATAATCAAGTCTTTAATCCATTTTGAGTTAATTTTTGTGTTTAATGTGAGATAATGGTCCAGTTCCATTCTTTTGCATGGGGCTGTCCAATTTTCCTGACACCATTTATTGAAGAGACTTTCCTTTCTCCACTCTCCACTTTCCACAAGTATTCTTGACTTCTCTGTTGCAAATTAATTGACCATATATTCTCAAGTTTATTTCTGGGCTCATTATTATGTTGCAATGATCTATATGTCTGTTTTTATGCCAGTATCACTTGCTGTTTTGATTACTCTAGTTTTGTAATGTAATTGGAAATCAAGGAGTGTGATGCCTCCAGCTTAGCTCTTGTTTCTTTAGACTGCTTTGGTTATTTGAGTTTTTTTGTGATTCCATACAAAATGTAGAATTGTTTGTTCTATTTCTATGAAACGTGCAATTGGAAATTTAATAGGAATTGCACTGAATCTGTAGATTGCCTTGGGTAGAATGGACATTTTAACTATATTCTTCCAATCCATGAGTATGATCTGTCTTCCCCTTTATTTACATCTTTGGTTGTTTCATCAGTGTCTTATTGTTGTTAGTATACAGGTCTTTTACCTACGTAATTAAAAGTTACTTCTAGGGATCCCTGGGTGGCGCAGCGGTTTGGCGCCTGCCTTTGGCCCAGGGCGCAATCCTGGAGACCCAGGATCGAGTCCCACATCGGGCTCCTGGTGCATGGAGCCTGCTTCTCCCTCTGCCTGTGTCTCTGCGCCTCTCTCTCTCTCTCTCTATCATAGATTAAAAAAAAAAAGTTACTTCTAGATGTTTTAAAGTAGCTGCAAGGCAACAAAGCCTAAAGGACAGAATGTTTTGCCATAAGAACAGCTACAAAATAAGTTAGTTTGATCAGCATTTCTTAATAGTGGGATGAAAAAATATTTGAAATGTTTTCTCCCTTGGGCTGTCAGATGCCAGCTAAATCGAGAGGAAATAAAAATACATGCAGGAGGAAGGAAAATCCTAGTTCTAACTTCTCTGAGATCATGCATTTGAAGCTTTCATATATTTGAAAATAATCATTGTACTTTATGTGCAAAGATTAAATCAAATAGAAGATGTAATCGGGGGCACCTGGATGGCTCATTCAGTTAAGCGTCTGACTCTTGATTTCAGCTCAGGTCATGATCTCAGGGTCATGAGATTGAGCCCTGCATCGGGCTGCATGTGCATGCTTGCACGTGTGCACATGCGAGCTCTGTCTCTCTCTCTCTCTCTCTCTCTCTCAAATAAATAAATAAATAAATAAATAAATAAATAAATAAATAAATAAATAAAAATTTAAAATAAATAAATTAATTAAAAATAGGTGTAATGAAAATTAGGCAGCCCATGAGAGGTCAGAATATATTCTGCCTCTTTTTTTTTCTAGTTATAGTTCATTATTTGAGAAAATCTAGACTGTAACTGAGAGAATTTATTATGGTAAAATGTTTGCCTTATTTCCATATTTAATCACACAGCATATCAAATACTAATTTTGCATAAAGTTTTATATTAGGTACTGAGAATTTTAGAAAGATGAGTAAGAAAATCCTTAGGGAACTTTTAACCTAGCAGAGGATGCAGATGAGCAAAGGAACTAGAACACAGCTTACAATGAAATATGTTAGAGCAGTGGCCCCTGAAGCATTAACATCTGCATTACCTAGAAGTTGTTAGGATCCTCAGGTCCTACCTCAGACCAGAATCAGAAACTCTCAGGGTGGGGCTGAGCAATCTAGTTTTAACAAGCCCTCCAGGTGATTCTGATGCAACTGAATTGTGAGAGGCCTGGTGTCAGAGGTACAAGTGAAGTGCTGCAGGAATGCAGAACAAAGAACCATTCATGCCAGCTGAGTGGGATCAGAAAGACACTACAGATGAGGTGCCAAATGAACTAGGCCTTGGTGGATTATTTCAATAGTCAGAAATTCTCTAAGGACTAAGGACTAACTCCTTGAACAGCAGAAGAGGTGCCTAAAATGGTCTCTTTGAATCCATATTCTGTACTGTTCACTAGAACTGCTTTTTCATTGTGCTTTTGATCTAATAACACATTTTGATCTATTTAAAAGTATTTTGCATCTCAAAATTTTCTCTGTAGCTCCCATTGCCTCACCGTATTACATCAGAGTTCTTCAAGTGGCAGGACTCTTTCAATTCAAAATGAATTATTCAACCCAAACTCTTGCTAAAGCCAAGTAGGGATTCATTGGCTCATGTGGATGAGAAGATGTTGATAGTCACTTGTGGAAGTGAAGGAAGTGCACCAGGAACTATGACCTCAAGGATTAGGACAGAAATTCAGCATCCATGGACTCACTCTGTTTTTAATTTTTTTTTTTATCTACTTATAATAGTCACAGAGAGAGAGAGAGAGAGAGAGAGAGAGAGAGAGAGAGAGGCAGAGGGAGAAGCAGGCTCCATACACCAGGAGCCCGATGTGGGATTCGATCCCGGGTCTCCAGGATGCGCCCCGGGCCAAAGACAGGCGCCAAACCGCTGCGCCACCCAAGGATCCCTGTTTTTAAATTTCTATCTCCTCTCTGCTTGCTCTTCTAACTCACATGTTGGGCTCATTCTCTACAAATGCAAACAAGCCTCTGCATTCTTTTTATCTTTAATCCCTAACACCTAGCAAAATTTCTGACATACATATAGTAAGCAAGGATAAAGTATTTGAATGAAAAAAGTAAATGAATGAGTGAGCAAATGAAAATACATGAAAAGCTGGGTGAATAATAATGTCTGGCAAGAATATCAAATTGGTGATGGGAAGTAATCAAGCAGAAATTGGAAACATAGGTGAAGGCCAGATTGTGAGGGTCTTGAAGGTCATATTAAGGAGTTAATTTTTTTCTTCTGTAAGCAAGACTAGTGGTTAGGAGGATAGAAAGATGATAAATTCTGTGTGAAAAATAATTATAATATTCACAGGAAAGGTGTTTTGAGAGGTGAATAATGTAATAAAGACAAAAATGTTACAAATTTCTCTCTGCCATTTCCCATTATGAATGAGGAATAAAAGAGTTGGATAATTTAAGTGAAGCAATACTTTGGTTAACACACATTTTCCAGAAGATGTAATCGCTGACTACATTCCCATCAATATGACACCATTTCAAACGGCACTTGCAAAGCAAGGCCAAACCACTGATTTGAACTACTTTAAGAAGCAGATTACAGCAAAA